ACCTTTAGAATATACTAAGTAATCTTGTAATTTGACTCTAGAAAAGCCATTTTTAAACTTAAATAATTGAACTAAGCTAAGAAAGTCACGACGAGAGTGAAGACTTGGCCATCCCAGGTATTTCAAACGTTCATTGTACTCAATGGAACTGCCTTAAATCCATCTTGAGACATTCCTTGTAATTCTTTCAAGTTTATCAGATAGGTATTGATGGTGTAGATTCCATACTGCAGGCACGCATACTCAATGATTGGACGAACCATAGATTTATAACCAGTTATTATTGCCTCCGAACATTTCCCAAAAGTACGCTTCAATAGGTCAAGAATTTTGCTCGCTTTAGCAGCAACTGTTAGTACATGTGTTTTCGTTCCAAGATAAATCAGATGATAGTGTGACTCCAAGGTGTTTATGGGTATGAACTGATGTCGAGTTTATGTTGTAGTAGCAAGATGTTGGTGTTTTAGCTCTGGTGATTCGAATACATTCGCATTTCTCGGCATTAATTTTCAGAAGCCATCCCCTGCGTCAGGACCATGGTCAGACCATGGTCAAACATGTTAGAACATGGTCAAGCAAACATGGTTGACCATGGTTTGTCCATGATGTAACCATGGTTTGACCATGGTCAACCATGAACGTTAAATTGCACAAGTTTAACCATGGTCAACCATGGTGAGTTAGTGTTTTGCTATGTAAAACAACAACCATGGTTTGACCATGGTCAACCATGTTTGAAAGCAAAATCAACACCATGGTTTACCATGGTCAACCATGTTTGAAAGCAGCACCAAAACAAAAATTGAGAAAACATATCATACATGTTTGCAAACAGCACCCGTACAGCATGCTCAATGAAAACCTACATAAATATACAATATAAGGATGCAAATCATGCAGGGCAGTAATGTAATTCACTCATTAATAGAAGGAACAAAATAAATAAAACAATTATTGTCTTTTCAAACAAATATTATTTGCACTTTCTTTAATGCAACAGAAAATATGTATACAATCAGCATGTAAATATTAGCCAAAATGTTTGTTTCTACACTAAAGCTACTATCATGAAATTTGGTTGGCCTGTTGCTCTAGTTCTTCCTGAGAGCTTACTGTACTTTCTGTTGAATGCTTAATGCACATCTACAGTAAGGCAATGTTTAGAGTTATTTCTATTTTGTCATATTATAATACACTCAATAAAATAACTTGATTGTGTTTGGTTGAAAGCAGTACAATTATTAATCCTTAATTAAAT